CTTGGGGCACAGCCACTGGCCAGCAAGGATTTGGGGCAGGGGCTGAGCTCAGAAGAATCCCTGCAAGGCAAAGCATCACTACATCACTCTTGTTTTCCCTGCATGTCCCTGCTCTACCCTTTCTATCCACACCAGGTAAGTGCACAACAGCAGCTCTGTAGCAGAGCGATGGGGTCTGCCTGCCCCGTGACCCCGATTTCACATCCCTGCTGTTCTGAGCCAACTGCTGGCCAGAGCCAGCCTGACATCAGCTTAAAAATAGTGGTGTCTGGGGCAGCACTGCGGTTAGCCCAGGCTCCCAGCACCCTGCCAGGCCGGGTCCCTCTGCTCTCATTATGGTCCACTTTCCCCCTCTCCCTCCCAGTCCCCTGGGGACTCGCCAGCAAATCAATGGCTTAACATGGGACAACAATGGCTTCTGCCATCCATCTTCATGAAATGTGGTTTGGTAGCTCTGCGAGAAGCGAGCCGGCTGCCAGCACAGCCCCAAGGAGCTGGTGGGGGGAAGGAGAGGCACTGCGGGGTCAGGCAGCCCCTTCTGTGCTGAGCCAGGGAGTCCCAACTCCATCCCTTCTGCCACCCCAAGCAGCATCTCCACAACTGCCTGCACAGCTCACAGCTGCCCGAGTCCCAGGCAGCAGCACTGAAACACAAGAGAGGTGCTTAAAGACCTCATGGGCCACACTTTGGGTCTTGCTACATTCAGGCACATCCTCAGAACGCAACCTGGTGCCACACACACTGCGCTACACGTGGCATTATTGCTGGGCTGTTCACTTGGAGTCACTCCCTGACCCCGCACAGGAGCTGAGCAGCATTGGCACCGTCGGATTGTGGTGACAGCATGCAGGTGGTAAAAGTGCCCACCCTGACTTTGCTGCACAGCTCTGCAGAAGACGGGCGACTGCAGCCTGCAGCCGGCGAGACCCCGCAGCACCACCGGCTGTGAGCAAGAAAGCAGAGCTTCCCAATGTTTGAGCAGGACACACCTTTCACGGCCAAGTAGCCCCTGTCTGCTTGGGGGAGCATGTGCTTATCTCTAATTCATGTGGTTTATTTCTGTAGATTAATGCATCGAGTTGGCTTGTGACCAAACTCTCAGTGAAGTCTCTCTTTTCACGGGACCAAACCACACAAAGTTCCGTAGCCTGTTCATTTGTGGAAATGGAGGGGAGGTTTTCTTTATCTCGATGGTAAAGCAGGATTTAGGGGGGTGCAGACACAAGGAAGCCAGCATTGTTTTGATCCGTGAGCAAATGACAGCCCATTCTGAGTTCAGGGAAGGCTCCTGCAGCAGTCCTCGCAGAGACGGGGCAAACAAAAACAGACAGGAATGTTTCTATTCATATAAGAAGACACGAAAGCAAAGCAGGGGAGGCGAGTTAATGATCAGCTCACTGGGCTGTTTACTTTTACATGCCACTGGAGTAAATAGAGCCATGTCATCCCCTCTGTTTATAAATATACAATAACGTTTACAGCAGAGCTGTCTGCACTCCCCTGGGCCAAGGCTGCAGGAGCCGGCCTGATCTGGTCCCCTGACCCTGTGTGGGATGAGCCCTCCTTCCAGGCTGCCCAACTCACTGTGCTGCTGCAGCCCTGCTGTCCTGCTCAGCGTTTGTGCTTGTGTGTGCTGGATGGCACCAGCATGGCTCCAGGGAGATGTCTCATGAGATGTCCCACTGGATATGTCCCGTTGGAAATGTCTCGTTGGAGATATCCAACAGAGATGCCCCAGTGGAGATGCTCCATTGGTTACAGCCAGCTGGAGAAGTCCCTAAAGATGCTGCATTGGAGATGCCCCAATGGAGATGCTCCAACATCTTTCCCACCCCATTCCTTCGGCTACTCGGAGCCGCCCCTTTGCATTGCTGGGCTCAGAGCAGCAGAGGACTCAGAGCCCTGTCAGCGCTTCACAACGGCCTGACAACACACAGACACCAACAGGCTCAGCTTTGAGTCAGCCAGCCTACTACAGAGAAAGGATTTGAAGTTATGGGTGTTATCAGAGGCAATTCCTACCCTTCAAAGAAATTACCCGTAAAAAATACAAAGTTCCTACAAATGCTAGAAAATAACGTTCCTGCAGCAGGCAAGGTGTGCTGCAAGCAGGAGCATGAACCTCTGCAAGGACACAGCACATGCAGCCATTCCCTCCCCGCAGGATCCATCTGAGCACAAATTTGCATTGGCTTCAACACTGCTGCAACTCCCTGTACAGACACGACCACGCTGGTTTCCAGTAGACTTTTTCTTGTGGCTTATTTCAAACCTCATCCCAGACGATTTAATTAGGCATACTCTATCACAGTGCAAGACCTAGCTGTGCCTATCTAGTTTGTTGTTCCACATCAAATTTTGCATTGCTAATCAGTGCAATTCCAGATGCGCCTGTAGAGACAAATTTCTTTGCAAATAGACGCTGTGAATCTACCTGGCACTTGTACTAAATGACTTCTGTAATAATTACATTAAATAATTCTGTTGTCTTTTTTCTTTTAGGCCAGAAATCGCATGATTTCTGGTTCTGTAAATGCTCGATGTAAACACCAAGGGCTGCTCATCCTCATTTTCATTACCAAAACCACGATCCTGTGATGATGGCAAGGAACGCTGTGGGAATAAGTTGGTTTACAGAGCAATGCATGTTTGCAGAAAGCTTGTGCTCACAGGGTTGGCTGATGGACCAGACTGAGTGCCTAATGGAGCTGTGGCTGCTCTATTCATTGCAGGGACTTGGACCAGATGACCTTTCAGGGTCTCTTCCAGCACCAAGGATTCTATGGTTCTATGTTTCTGGCCTGTAGAAAGCAGTTAATGCCTTCAGTTTACATGGGTGCTGGCTCATATCAGCCCACTGCTGGCATTTCAGGCTCCTATCAAGATTAGCACAGGATAAACAGTGGAAAAATCTAATCACTAATTATTATGCAACAAAAAAGCAAACGCCAAACTTTGCACAGAACCTTATTCACAACAAATTATCCAACCAGCCACAACCAAGGTCATTTCAATCTGAAAGCATTCTCTATTGAAAAGCACAACAATATTCAGGCCCCGTCCATTGCCCAACAGCAAGAAAGCCACAATTGCTGCTGTGCCTGTGGGGCCGAGCCCAGGGATGCACCCACCAGAGCCCCTCAGGGCCGCAGAGCAGCCCAGCCCATGCACTGCAACTCTTCCACCCCAACGTCAGCCTTGGGCAGGGCTCATACATTCCCAGAGCTGCCATTCTGTCCCACCTCCTGCCCTTCCTTCCTTCCATGGCAGCTTCAGGTGTGCACACAGGGCTCTGCCCTGCTTGAGCTCTGATTGCCCGTCCAAACAAGTGACGTGCTGCCCCACACAAGCTGCCCAATGCGATTTCATTCTTTTTCTCTTTGCCTTTTTTCCTCCCTTACCCCGTGCTGTAGTTGGTGTCCATCACTGCCTGCTCCTGGCTGCATTCAGAGACTCCTGCACGAAGGCAGATGCTACAGACCCTGACGGCGACAGCTGCCGCCTTCAGCGCGCACAACCCGGAGCCCTCTGCCCTCCCATCTCCCAGGTGGGATTCTCGCACTCTTGTGCTCCCTCTGCCGGCCCTCGGCCCGGCCCAGCCGCCTCCGCTCCGCACTGCCAACGCGTCGGGGCCGCCAGCGCCCGGTGGTGCCCCGCAAACCGTCCAGGAGGAAGCATCATCACTGTCTACAACTGCCTGAAAGCAGATCATAGCGAGGCTGAGCCAGCCTCTGCTCCCAGGTAACAGTGACAGCACGAGAGGTCATGGCCTCGTGCTGTGTGTCAGGGGAGGTTCGGGTTGGATGTCAGGAACAACTTCTCCAAAAGGATGGGGATGCACTGGCACGGGCTGCCCAGGGAGGTGGTGGTCACTGCCTTTGGAGATGATTTGTTAGCCCATATTCAGGAACACAAATGGCACTTCATGGAAACACTGATGCCCCAGCAGCAGAGACATGCCCTTGAGGTTGGGATGCTGCAGGGCACGGAGGCTCAGTTCTGTGGGGTGGGAGAGACAGCAGTGGATGCAGAGGGTGCACCCATTGCCAGCAGCCTCCTGCTGCTTTCCTGCACTGCAGCCCAACTCCACACCTCCACCACAACACCCCCACGACTCAGAGCTGCCGTCTGAGCAAACAATAACTCTTGTTGTTGTGTGGGGTTCTCTGCAACAGACAAATTCAATGGTCGAGCTCTGCACAAAGGCTTTTCCTGAGCGCTGTGGCTCTGTGCCCATCACCCTCCTCGGGGACACAGGGCAGGGAGGTGAGCTCCGGCCCAGCCTGCAGCTGCTGCACAAAACACAAATCTGCCCAGCAATTCCCACGTGCCCACAGCTTCCCTTAGTGCAGCCATCCCATAATGTAGGGCTGTGGCACAGCCCCGCAGCCCCTGAGCGTCGCAGCCAGCACTGCTGCAGCGTTTTGCAGATGGGTCTGCAAGGAGATCGAGAACTGCATCTGGGTGAGCTCTGCAGACGATGTGTGTGCATGCAGCAACATGCGTGTGGGGCTTTTTGGAGGTGAAGGGCCGCCGCCTTTCTGCTCTGCACAGCACCGAGATGAAAACGGACTCCTGAGAAAAAGCTCAGCGCGAGCAGCTCTGTAGGTGCAAACAAACGGTTAACACGTGCAGTTGTCTGCCGTGTTGACTTTGCTCGGTGTCACCGACAGCTGCTTTCCTGCAGCACCAGAAACCGCAGCGCTGGAGGAGTGAAAGTGCAGCAGTGGGGCTGGGAGGGCAGCACCTCCCTGGGGGGGAGGACGGCAAAAGGCAGCGCAGTGCCCACGGATCCCAAAGCAACTCCCTGCGAGGTGCAGGTGAGCCCAGCAGGGCTGTGGCGACGGCTTTGGGAAAGGAACAAATGTCATTCCTGCACTAATCCGACAGCGAAACCATTCTCCCAGATCTCCCCATTCGGCGCTGCTGCAGCTCCCCCCAGCCCTTCTGCAAAGCACTGAGTGGGGGTGGGGGGGATCGGGGGTGGGAACGGGACCGGTTTCAGTGAAACTCATGGATTTCTCAATGCGTGTTATCATTCACTGACATCACGAAACTCATGTGGGCTTTGCCTTCACTCTCTTTCCAGTTGGGTATTTTCCCTGAGCGGAGAAAACTTTCACTAAGACAAAACTGCATTTCTGCCCTGTAAGGAGAGCAGAAACACGGTTCCCCTCCCAGCTTCCGTGGTCAGGGGCCATCGGTGGCTGCATTACATCTCCAGACCAACACAACGCACAGCTCTGGGCGGCCGTTCCATTGCCCCCCACCTGCCGCACCCAGGTGCCCCTGCATCCCCAGCTCACCCGTTCCCCTCCACCTGCAAACAGCCCCATTACCGCACCCACCCACTCCCACTCTCATTTAGGAGAGGCACTAATTAAGCACACCCTGGGTGGTCCCGCTCCCAGGGAGGGGCTGGAGGTACCGACCCTGGAGGTGTTGAACCGTGGAGGTGCGGCACTGAGGGACGCGTTTATGGGTGCGGTGAGGCTGGGGATCAGAGAGGCCCTTTCCAGCCCTAACGATTCTACGCTCAGTCCATCCTCTGCCAACGGCACACGCCGACTTGTTCGTGATTGCGGGCACTTTGGTGCCCCAACCCCGCTGCGTGCGATGCTCCCGATAGGCGCTCGGAGCCCGCGCGTCCGAGGACGGCTCTGTGCAGCCCCACACTGCGGGGCAGTGCAGCCCGCGCTGTGTTTTCTCGTTCCCCAAACCCCGATTTCAGCTGCGATATTTTCGAATCGGCGGTTTTCTGCAGAAATCCGCCTTCGTGGCTGAAAGCAGAGCAGCGCTTTGTGCCTCCAGCAAACAGAGCGGGCAGCTGAAACTCGGAGGGGAGGAGCGAAGGGTCGGCGATTTTGCAGGAGGCTTTACAAACAAATAAACAAACAAACAAACAGCTTTGAAACGACCGTTATGGGGCAAATAACCGCTTTCTCCTCAGAACGGCCCACCGCTCGGTGGGTAAAGGAGGGCGATGGCGCTGAGCATCGGCGGCGGCGGGTGCGCGCGGTGCGGGGCTGCGATTGCGGGCAGCTCCGGCCGGTGGATCAGAGAACGGCCCGAGCTGGAAGGAGCCGTAAGGCCCACGGAGCCGCTTTGTCAGCGATACTTTCTCCACCCCCCCCGAAGGCCCGACAGCGGGGCGCAGTCCCGGCGCTCCCCGAACCGAAGGCACCGCACAGCCCCCCACCTCCCCCCGCCCCAGCACGGCGGGTCGCAACCTCCGCCCCGCCCCTCCCCGCCCCCCCCCGCTCCCAGCAGCCCTTGCAGACGCCTACAATGAAATTGGCGAAGTTTTTTCGGTTTCGGCGCCATTTTCGAGTGGACTCGGAGGTGAGGACGGAGGGCGGGCGGGGCGCCGGGGCCGGGGCGCTGCAGGGGGCCGCCCCAGCGCCGCTAAACGCTTCCCTTCCCCCCCCCCTCACGGCGTGGTACGGCCCGGCCCAAGGGGGGGTTGGGGGGGGGGAGGTTCGGGGGGGCACTGCGCGACGGTCCGAACGGCGTTGCAGGAGTGGGGATGGGAGTGGGGGAGGAGGAGAAGGAGGAAGAAGGGGGGGAGGTGGGGGAGAACAACGGCCCAACCGTACCCCCCCGGCGATGTGAGCACTTTGCGGAGTGCGGGGTGGAGAGGAGAGGGGGGGAAGGCTGGGAAATTAAAAAAAAAAAAAGGCAAAAAACGAAAAACCAAACTTTTATAAAGCACAAAGGGCAGAGGGGTGCCGTAACAGCGGGGCGGGGCCGAGCCCCCCGCACCCGCAAGGACCGTTAAGGCGGGAGCGCGCCCGCGGCTCCGCGCCGCCACCGCGGGTACGGCCCCACGTGCGCGCGCCGCAGGTGTGAGCCGGGAGGGGTGCGGGTCCCTTTAAGAGCCCGTTCTGCACGTGGGGGAGGCGTTCTGTATCGCTGCGCGTGTCGACGTTTTCTTTTTCTTTTCTTTTATTGATACCAGAAAGTTGAAGCCGTCGGGCTGATTGGAAATAACGGCAGCATATTGGCATTTTTCGCTTCTTTTTTTTTTTTTTTTTTTTGTAAAGCTGTTATTTTATCCGTGCAGGAAACGGGAACATCCTGCGGGCGGAGGGGTGGGAGGTTGGTTGGGGGGGGGGGGGGGCTGCGGCTGTGCGCTGCCCCGTGCTGCAGTGCCGCGGGGTTATCCTTCGTGCACCGCCGTCAGATCCGTCGGTAGGACCGTATCGGAATGGGGCGGGGGAGCGAAAATGAGAAGTGGAAAATGAGAACTGCCCGCCTTGGCGGACATCGCTGGAGTTTTAACGGAGCGGTCACACAGATGGGCTGGGGGGGGGGGGAGGGGGGAGAACGCGGTGCGGGGATTCCTGCGGCCCCACCCGGACGTCTCCCCCCCCCCCCCCCCCCCCCCCCGGCTTCTCCGTGTCCTTCCCTCATGTGATTTCTCATTGCTGCGTCGTTGAGGCTTTGTGCAAAGTGCCCCCCCCCCCCCCCCCTTTTTTTTTTTTCGTTGTTTGTGCCTTTGGAACGCAGACAGCTCGGCTGGGAGAGCTGTGAGAGCTCCGGGTTGGGTCGGTGTGCTGTTTTATCCCTTCCCTGTGCTTAACCCATATAGGAAATGCTTAATGCTGACTTATTGCAGAGCTCAACCCCTGCTGCAGCGTGCGAGTAGAGGAGAGCGAGTGTGCACAACTGCTCCTCTATGGGATTCTCCTTTCCTTCCCCTCTTTCACATTTTTTTTTTCCTTTCTTTTCTCCTTTTTCCCCTATTTATTTATTCATTTCTGGTAGGCGCTGGTGTTTTCAAGCCCCCCTTCGTATCTCAGGGTGGCTCTATCTCAGGGCGTTGGGGCTGTGCTGTACTCCACAGCCCGAGTTGCTGTACTAGGAGGAGCTGCATTGCATTCATGCATTCGTGCACGTTCTGCTCCTCCCATTATATGGGGAATTCACTCCACAGGTGCTGCATGGAGCAAATCCCCCAATTCCAGTCCTGCAGTGCAAATTTTGGGGGTAGGAATATTATCCATATTTAAGGCTGCTGGTGCAGCAAACGGCGTCTTGGTGGAGCTCTGTGTTTTCCCTTAATTGTGTGCCCACCCAACCTATTGTCACCGAAGTCCCAAACCCTTCTCAGCTCTCTGTGTTGCTTTCCAGCTCCCATGTGGTTGGAGGCACTGGCAGGAGGAGCTGTAGCCCACGGCCAGGTGAGGGCAGGTAAGTGCTGGGAGCCTGCAGCACTCGCATCCCATCCCACACCTTACACAGTGAGTGCAAGGCAGCTCACTGCTGTGACACGCAGAGCTCAGAGCCATTCTCCATCAGAAACACACAGCACTCTCCCAGGTATGTATTTCCCCATCTATCCCAGATTTCCAGCTTCTCTGCGAGCTGCTTGGTGGGCACGTGTTGAAAGCTTTGCAACAGTGTCCTGCACCTTGTCCAGCTACAACCAGGACTTTGCATTACTTAATATATTTATATAAGTGGATGCTACGACTGAGCTGATTTGCTATTGCCTTTTTAACGTATTTTATTCTGTTTTCTCGAGCTGCTTGAAGAGATGGAAGCAGTGATCCTCCCCAGGTGCAGCCCTTCGCAGTGCTCTTGCAGAAGCAGAGCTGAAGCACTGTGGGGCTGCTCTGCTGCACCCCGGCTGGGTTTCCCTTCGGCTGTTGGCTCTTTACAGCACAGCAGTTGCACTTTGCAGAGCTGGAGCTGCTGCCATCAGCACAGAGGACATTGAAGTGATGGAAAAAATACTTTTTTTCTTTTTGCAAATATTGAATTGGCTGTTTCCAATAGGCTGGCACGGGCCGGGAGGGCTCTTGAAATCCTGTTCTTCAGTTTGCTAAAGGGGCAGAGCAGCACAGGGGCTGAGCTCCCTGTGGGACAGGCCTGGCTGCTGCCGTCGTTCTGCGCTGCTGTGACGTTGCTTTTTGGGAAAATGAATTGAAGGAAGTTGTCACATAACTGGGGGAAAAAAAGTCAAGAGGAAACAAAGAAGTCTGGGCTGTCTGCACAGGTCTGGGCGCTCTGTGCTGCAGCCTCAGCCTCTGCTCTGCACAGGGAATGATGGAGGGTCAGAGTACCTTTATTTTCTGGTTGCAGATGGTTTGTCCATTCTAAAGGTACATGAGCATCATGTCAGCTTTAGGAAAAAAAAGCTTCTCCCCCTTTCCTTTCCTTCCTTCTTTCCTCCTTTCTTTCTTTTTCCCTTCCTTCCCTTCAGCAGTTTAAGGACACACGAGGTTTGCCCTGCTAAGCTGTGTATTCAGCTGCTGGCACTGTGATTCCTGGCCAACAGCTGATGCACCACAGCCCCTAAGGGAAGAAGGAAAGGCAGTGGATCATTGCCCCACAAGCTCTGGGGGTGCAGCTGTGCCATGTTGCAGCACTGTGGGTTTGGGGAGTGGGGTATTTCTGTCTGTTTGCACTGTGTAACTGCTTGTTCTTTGTAGTTGCAGGTTGATAGCACCTGGAAGGCAAAAAAAAAACAAACAAAAACAAACCAAATCAACACAAAAGTCCTGAGGTGGTAATGCATGCATGTTCATGTCTTCATGTAGAGCGTTCGTCGCTGCCTTATGTCATGATTTACAAATAATAATAATAATAATAATAACCAAAATACCATTTGGAATGCCAACATTCAGTGGGCTTTGAGGAGATGTAGCAGCACATCATGGTTTGTAGGGACAAGGAGATACAGACCATTCTGGGCTGCCTCATTACCTCAAGGATAAGACAAGAAAGTGAGCTTCTGGTTATCATAGGGGTGGAGGCTGACGTGTCCCCATAGCCCTTAGCTCAGGAGCACGGGGATGTGCAGGTACACCTGTCTGTGGGGTGGCCGTGCAGGAAGGGCTCTGCTCCTCCTGTGCTCTTTGAGTCCATCCCGGGTGGAGCAGTGCCTCCAGAGCAATACTGCTCCACGTTCAGCCTTTTCCCAGCCCCCTCTGATTTGGGGGGTGGATACGGGGGGATTGAAGGCTGTGGGGAGATGCACGGGGCTGGAGAGCTGTCAGCAGTGCTCTAGCAGCACGTAAATACTGGAGTGGGGGATCGCCTGTTGCTCTCCAGTATTGCATTGCTGCTTTAGTGAGGCTGGAAATCAGTCCCTGGCACCTGGGGGTTCTATGCTGCAGGGGGTGGGGGGGAAACCTATCTCCAGCACCAATAAATCACAGTGAGTAACGAGGGCCTGGTGTCATTAATGGGGTCAGGACTCTGGCATGGGGAGACCGAGCCCTTCCCCAGCATCCTGGGTGGGAAATGAGGTTCTGGGGAGGTGGTGGGAGCTGGAGGTAAGGTAAGAGGCAAGTGCTCTGCCCTTGGCATCTCCCATGCTGAACCACCCAGTTCTGGTGGCAGCAAAGGGGCACCTGCGGGCTGAAGGCTGCTTCCGTTGGGGCTGCACCGCACTACTGGGACATCAGGGGACATCCATCCTCTGCAGCAGCAGTGAGTCCAGGCGCCTTGCAGGTGATGGTGCCTCACTGGCAGCCCCAGTCCTATGCTGTGCTGGGGGTTCTGGTGGCTGGCTGTCCCACAGCAGTGGGTTTTCAACTGTTTCCTGCAATTACTGAATCCCAGTCCAGTTGTGGGGCAGGAGGGTGGTGGGGAGATGTTCCCCTCGCTGCTTCGTGGCTCAACTGTGGCCCAGCAGCACAGAAGGTGAGCACTTCTGCATTTCTATACTTAATTTTGCAAGTTTTACATCAGTTTTTTGGTTTTTTTAATGCTTTAAAAATTTTGCATCATCATTTTATGTGTAGAGGCAGAGTGTCTGAAACCAGACTTGCTGTGTTGCAGACCACAAAGGCACAGGGGCACAAGGAAGTGGTGTGGGACTGCTTCCTGCCCACACAATGCACAGTCACAGGTAGAGGTAGGGGAGCCTTGAACCACGACTGCCCTGAGCAGCAGTGCCATTCCCTGCACAACAGCAGCTCCTGCAGCTACTAGTGAGTAATTCAAGGCTGCAAAGACCCTTGCTTGTTTGAATTCTCTAATCCAGGAATTCTCTGTAACACAAAACCACCCCTAAAAGGAACCACCAGCACAATTATCATACAAGCTTTCTATTACCCCTCCAAGCTCAGCCTGGAGCACCTGTGATTCAGATCACTGCGAGTTTAAAGCAAGATTTCCTCAGTGCTTTCATAATACTTTAACAATTGCTCTTCTGCAGTGCCAGCCCCCCAGGCTGCACAGCTCCAGCACCCTTTCCTTGCTCCAACAAACCCCGTTGTGACACCCATCCTCTCCAGCCTCTCTCACATCACAGCATTTGAGTAACATCCTACACCAAGGCAGGAAAACTGCAGAGCAAAAACTCGTGTCAGGGTTTAGACCTAAAAGATATGAGCAAGTCTCACTGTTTCATTGTGTTTCATGTACTTTTACGCCCCCTTTTGAGTGCAATATCCAGATGCCATCAATTATTCCAGAACGCAGTGATGCAGGAACTATGCAGAGGCTGGAGAGAACATTGCTTTCTGTAATGAGGCCTTCATTCCATCCACCCAATGAAAACTCAAATGGATGTCATAATTCTAAAGAGGGTTGGTAGTTTTCTGTGTTGCTTTTTGTGCTTCCTCTCCTCAGCCAAGCACCACCTGCTGAAAGGAAGTCCTGAGCACAGCACAGTTCTCCACACGCACACATTCAGAAATGGAATCAGCCTATATAGTGCCATTAGAAAAGCTCTTTGGAACATTAACCAGCACATGAACAAAAGTAAATTACAATTGTGAGCAGTGTTATTTTTCTTACTGATTTGCAACTAGATCTCCAGCACACTGATCATTACACAATTACATGGTGTAAGTTACTCACGTTTTAGGGCTGCCATTAAGTGCCACGGTTGCAACTGAACGCACCAAGGGCAGACAGTGCTGCAAGGTGCTTGGAATGTAAAAAATACTACTCAAAAACCAGAAAACACCTTGCAGAACAGATGACAAATGCTTCCAAGCACTGTATGTACCTGTGTACCAAGCACTGCCAGCACCAAATCCCAGCACGCAGTGAGTCCATGTGCAAGCACACCAACTGCATAAGCAAAGGACAGAGCAGCACAGCAGAAGGAAAGGTGTGCACTGCCATGGTTAGCATTACAACAGAAACAAGATGTGAATAAAAGCAGGTACTTACAAATTGGCTGGGTTCTCTCCCTGATATGTGTTTAATGAAGGAATATCTGTCACTCTTCACTGTTGCCAAAACAGGAGAAGGGACAGCACTCAGAACGTTCTCTCTGAAATCCAGTTTGGTTACAGCATATGCCAGCCTTCCTAAAGCTTTCCCTCAGGCCTTCATCATCTCCCATAGACAGCACTGTGCTGACAGAAAGCTCTGCAGAGGTAACAAACGTGGATCCTGCCTTCACTGCCAGAAGCACTGATGAAATACACTGCTAAGAGAATCTCGAGAGTACCTCAATGTACACAGTGAGTGGCATAGATGTGTGTGGGGTATTTTAAAGAGAGAGCCTTTATTTAAAGTACTTTGCTTTGTAGTTCTTAGAAAGTAAACATTACAATACTTTTTCTTCTTTTTTCCCACAAATATATTAAAACTGTTTAAATTTAAAAGGCAATTTCACTGTCTGATGGATATTTTTAAAGAAAAAAAAAATCTGAAAGAAACAGGCAGCTCAACTAAAAGTAGACTTCAAACATTCTGTCATTCCATCTCAAAAAAAGAAAAAAAAAAAAAAGACATTGTTTTTTACCCAGACTCCTTTTTACAGCAATAAGGCAACTCCAGGAGGTGTCAGCGGCTCCCTGGAGATTACAGATACTGTAACTGGCTGCTTCTCATGTTCCATAACACCCAAAGGTGCAACTATCCTTTAATCACAATCACATTTGTGAATTAAAATATAAAACTTAAATTACAGCTTTTAAAAAATATTACTAATAGACTTCCCTATCATAAAATGTTTTACATTTACAGTACTCGAACTATTTCAGTTCTGGGTTGATGAGGTTTAAGCAATTTACCACTGCAAGAGTTAGACTCTGGAGCTCACAAACAGCACAACCCAACCAGGGGCAGCAATAGTCGGTAGAGTCATAGTGCAAATCAAAATAAGGAGTGCAGAACTGCACTGGTTGTTTACATTTCTATAATATAAATGAACAAGACGAGATTCTGATATTGTACATGCAATAAGTTACAGTAAGCGTGTGGCGACGGGGCGTTCTACAATTTCAGCTGGTGTACCAGAGTTGAAGCCAGTGAGAGATAGGACTTGGTAAACAAAACATTTCAAAGCTTTGTAGTCAGAGCACTTCAACCGTGCTTTCATGCTTTGTACTTCTGCTTCCCCGTCTCACTGATCACACAGATATGCTGAAACAAAACATTGAAACCTCCAGTTAGAGATGGAATGTAAGAAACTGATGTTCAGGCACAGAGTCAGTACTGCTCTTCTGAAAGAAAGAAAAGCGTGCCATACAAGTGTCAGCCCTGAAGAGTGTTCTGACACTGCTTGTGCAGAAAAACTTCAGCCTGTTTTTGGCTACAAACCTCAGCGTTGCCTTCCTTCTCCTTCCTCTCCCCCCCAGTGTCCATTATAAGGACATATAAGACCCAGGTGAAGAATGTGTGTCTTAGTATAAAAAGGCTTTCGAGGTCTCCCCTCTTTATTTTCATGGAACTAAGCAAATTTAATGTAGATATCTGGTATGATAAGAAACTGCACACAAACTGCCTCCTCTGTTCTGTGTGAAGCAAAATAAATGTTAGTTCTATCAGAGCTCCTAACACTGCTGTGCTGCTCTAAGGCTTGCCCTCATCACTGATGGAGTAACCTTGCTGTGATTTACACAGAGGAGGGAGAGCAATGTAAGAAGACTTCCCTTCCTTCCTCCTTCCTTGTTTTAAATGGACAAAAACATATGGGAAAAATTACTTACATTCAAATCTCTGAAGTATTCATTGTAATCGAGGGCGTATCCCACAACAAATTTGTCTGGCACTTCAAATCCAACAACTAAAAAAGAACATAAGTCACCAGTATGTTAGAAAGGAATTTCCTCGAGTTCACTAGACCTTTTCACGCACACAACTTGGAATTTTATCCACACATAAGCTGCTTAACATTTTATTTCTTCCACTCAGGTATCCTTAGCTTTACACTCATGTTATTTTAAACTTCTGACATTTTTTGTTGATTGAATTCAACTAAAACAAAATTAAATAGGTTTATTTTTTGATCCCTAACGCATAACGGGCATGGCTCTAGCAAGACAGCCCTTGGACAGTTGGGCAGCATCCATCCAACTGCACAGCCTGTAAGACAACCTAAGGAACATGTGAATGAGGCTTCCATCAGTACTATACAGTCTTGGAAAGGAGAAGGAAGAGGACGTGATTCTGTGGCTGAATTCGCTCCAATTCCATTGTGAGAGTGCACAGTCCATCATGAACAAGAATTCAGCCTCAGGAATGGGGATAAAACACACATCCCTCCCTAAGGAGCTTCCAAATGGCACTGGGTGGCTTCATTTAGGCACCTGAAACACTCCCCATAGTGCCAAAGGTGAGTCAGCAGGTTTAGCTGACCAAAGTCTTGACTGCTTCTAAGCATGGAGAATTTGCAAATGAAAGTGG